AAGGTATTTTAAAGTGATGTTTCATATGTTTCCCAGATCTCAAAAACTTATCACATCATGAACTCCACCTTGGGATGTCTGGGATGATCCCATCCCCAGATTGGCTAAACGCCTATCTTAGGCTATCTGGGATGATGCCCATGCTGATACTATGTTCATCTATGTTCTATATCTTGAAATGAAGTTTTCTGTAGATGACCTTCTCAGATTACGGCCTTTTTCATCTTCTTCCAGGATAAACTCGCCTTACGTTGACCTTATCCTAGCATGATTTCATCTGAATGGGCCTTTGCAATTCTTTACACACTGTGACGAGTGGTGCGCTTGCAATAATAAATCCATGAACATTCTCTCGTTTTCTTTTTTTAAGGGGATTATATATGTGTAATTACTGTACATACCTGAACACCCACCTGGATATGCAAGCAAGAATACAAATGGCCAATTTTAACAAGCAAGATCAGAAGAGGTGATGGACATGGGAAAAGGCAGCAAGGACAATGCCCAGATAATCAGAGAAGCAATGTTCCCTCAACCAAATGTTCCACTTTGAAGCCAGTTTCGATTGAGGAAAATCAAGCAGCAGAAACGAGAAGAAATGTGAACAGTGAAAATGAGCAAATGGAAAAAAGAAGAGGATAATACGGAAAGAGAAAATAACACTTTAGATACTTTAGGAAAACTGGGGAAAGGAAGAAACATGTGAACGATACAAAGCAAAATAAGAGGAAAAACACAGGGCAATGTAAGAGGAGAGAAAGGAACAGAAATGACACCAAAGCAAAATTCCCGGATTGGAAAGCAACACCAGCAGAAAATCCACTAATTAAGAAGGTGATGGAAGGTGTACGCTTGACAAAACTTATCAGTATTGTATGGCCAGATGCTTCTTTGTCTATTTGCTTTTGATCTGCTTGAAAGCTCATTGGCTTCTGGGCCTGACACATTCACCATTCAAGTCCTATTTGAAAGATTCTCAAAGTGGGTCCTGCCATGCTTCCAACATCTTCCAATCCAAATCCAACTAGGGAAGCATTCTGCAGGAGTTGGGTTCCGGATGGTTCCTGGTTACTGACTCTCATCTTTCATCATCTTTAATCCATCTCAACATATCTCAACATTCCCAACTGTTTTCCCCTCCAGCTGTGCTTCGGGCAGAATGTCCAGCAGCCCAGCTTCATCACCCAGAAGGTCCTTGTGACAGGTCGCAGCACGAGATACGAGGAGAATGGGAGCGAAAAGACATGGCAATGACAGGCAATGGATTGATATATAGATTAAAATAGCAAATCCTCTGTTTATCAAAGGACTTTATTTAATACATTCCTTTCATGAACCGGTCAGCCTGTCTAGTCAACCAATCAGCTAGAAACTCTCAGAAACTGTCACAACGGCGGCAACGTTCACCGAGTTCCTGCAAGCCCAATGTGGCATCGTCCTGCATGCTGGAATCAAGTTGCGAACATGGCTGCGGAAAACTGAGTCTAAATTCTGGTATCACGAAACATGTTGCAGTTCATTTTCCAGTGCTGGTCATACCAACTAACGACAATTCTTTGTGAAATCTTAGGCTAGTGACTAATTCGCACTTCCCGTTTGAACTTGTCGAAGATCGCAATGAAAAACATGATTGCACCATCATAAGAACATTATAACACCGTGATAGCACCAAAGCACAGTGATGTTTTTATTGAAAATGGAGGACGAATGAGGACGATACTATTGACACAGCACAAAAATATCCGAAGCTCACCTCCGCTTCCACAGAGTCCTGTCAAGAAAGATGAGTGATTTCGACGACATCAAATTCGACATAGTCCAAGATACATATACGGTACGTATCATTAATATGTTTAACACATTGTTTAACCATGTGTAACGGCCTATGACTACCGGTTGCCATTTCTGGGTCTGGTGTGTTCTCCTGTCACAATACCATACCATACCCTTCACAAAGTTTGAAGTGGAATGCCACGCTTTTTCTATGGAACAGCGACAGTTTATCTGACTCATCCTGACTCATTGTTTCTCTGTATCATTGTTGAACTATGATAAAGCACTTGCGACAGCCAGGCCAAACCCAACTGATGGCAAAATCAGCAGAAATCAAGCGGCCAAACCACCCTCCACACCACGAAAGCATTATGCATATACTGTAGACTGAGCGTCGCTGTGTATGTATATATATATGTATATAAGACTATACAGTAATAATAAAAATTACTTTACTTCGTGTGATCCTCACCATGACATTTATACATTTTCTTACTGGCAAATCTTCTGGCATTCTATCTGACATATCTTCTGGCATTCTATCTGACATTCTATCTGGCATATCTATCTGGCATTCTATCTGGCATTTTATCTGGCATATCTTCTGGCATTCTATCTGACATTCTATCTGGCATATCTTCTGGCATTCTATCTGGCATATCTTCTGGCATTCTATCTGACATTCTATCTGGCATATCTATCTGGCATATCTCATGGCATTTTATCTGGCATATCTTCTGGCATTCTATCTGACATTCTATCTGGCATATCTTCTGGCATTCTATCTGGCCGTTGAGGTCCAGCGGTGCACACTGAGCTGGGCAGGTCCCAGGTTGAGGTCCAGCGGTGGGACCGTCCCAGGTTGAGGTCCAGCGGTGCACACTGAGCTGGGAAGGTCCCAGGTTGAGGTCCAGCGGTGCACACTGAGCTGGGCAGGTCCCAGGTTGAGGTCCCAGTGCACACTGAGCTGGGAAGTTGGCAAAGAGCTTGGCGAAGAGAGTTGGCAAAGAGCTTGGCGAAGAGTTGGCAAGGCGGAAGTGGAGGTGGAAGTTGATGCAGACATGGTCGAGGAGAAACTAGAGGAGGAGGAGGACGAGGAGGAGGAGGAGGACAGCTAGCCGAGGAGGAGGAGGAGAACAACTCTGATAAAATCTAACAACCCTCACCTGGCAGGTGGGGAATATATATGTATACAATTCCCCACATCTTTGTGTGGGGTTCTTGTTTTTGGTTGTGCACTTCCGCCTCTCCACCCCGCCTCTCACTCACACATCTCACTCACACACAACTTGTCACAACACAACTTACTCACACAACACAACGTGTCACCACACAACTTACTCACACACAACTTGTCACCACACAACTTGTCACCACGCACAACTTACTCCCACACAACTTGTCCACGCACAACTTGTCCACACACAACTTGCTCACACACAACTTTGCGTGGCACGCGTGGCATTTATGGCACTGGGCTGGCTCTGGCGGCGCGCTTGGGTACTTTGGTCGCCGCGGCTGTTTGCGCAGCAGGCATGGCACTTGGCGACATCGACCTTCACTTTCCGTGGCAGGCGTGGCACTTGGCGACATGGACCTTCACTTTGCCTGGCAGGCGTGGCACTTATGGCGCTGGACTGGCTCTGGCGGCGCGCTTGGGTACTTTGGTCGCCGTGGCTGTTTGCGTGGCAGGCATGGCGCTGGGCGACATCGACCTTCACTTTGCGTGGCAGGCATGGCGCTTGGCGACATGGACGTGCGTTCTGCGTGGCAGGCGTGGCGCTTATGGCACTGGACTGGCTCTGCTGGTGCGCTTGGGCACTTTGGTCGCCGCGGCTGTTTGCGTGGCAGGCGGCACTTGGTGACATCGACCTTCACTTTGCGTATGGCGTGGCACTTGGTGACATCGACCTTCATTTTGCGTGGCAGGTGTGGCACTTATGGCACTGGGCTGGCTCTGGCGGCGCGCTTGGGTGCTTTGGTCACGGCTGTTTGCGTGGCAGGCGTGGCGCTTGCCGACATCGACCTTCACTTTGCGTGGCAGGCGTGGCACTTGGTGACATCGACCTTCACTTTGCGTGGCAGGCATGGCACTTGGCGACATGGACGTGCGTTCTGCGTGGCAGGCGTGGCACTTATGGCACAATTTTGTCACACAAGCCTTTCACACACAACTTTGTCACACACAACTCTTTCACACACAACTTTGTCATACACAACTCTTTCACACACAACTCTTTCACACACAACTTTGTCACATTCATCTCTTTCACACACACACAATCTTTTACACACAACTTTGTCACATTCATCTCTTTCACACACACACAATCTTTTACACACAACTTTGTCACATACAACTCTTTCACACACAACACTTTTACATACACAAACTTACACACACAACATTGTCACACACAGCTCTTTCACCCAACCTGTCTTGCACCATCTCCTTTCCTTCCTGCCTTTCCCATCTCATTTTCACATCTGCTTGTGATCATTGGAAGAAGTTGATTTGTGGGGTTATCCGGTCCTTTAATTGTAGTATATTGTAGTATATAATATTTTTTAGAATGTATAGTTGCAATTGGATTCTAATATTATAGTCTATATCTTCAAACATGTTTCAACTCGGCTTTGTATCAGCGTCGCAACGTCGCGTCTCTCCTCGCTGGAATCCTCGTCCTCACTGAGCTCCTGGACGATTCGACGGGTTTCCTAGTCGTCATGGGGGTACCCCAATTTATGGATGGTTTGGAATGGAAAAATACAAAAAACAAAACATAAGGAAAATGGGATGATTTTGGGGGGTAACCCCATGGATTAGATGGATTGGAAACCTCCAACTGGTTTCCAAATTCAAATTGCTCATCCAAATTAATCTTTGGTCACCGACACGTCAGGGCAAAACCCATTGCTATCCGTTACTACAAGATGCTGCAAGCAGGCTCATTGGTGAATCACCATTTTTTGCGCTTCAAATTAAACTTCGCAGAATGGAATTCGACACTGACATCGCCACATCATCAACTCTCTTGGCTCGAATGCTTCTGACGGATTCACTGAATCTGTGCTTGTGAGCTGCAAGCGAAGCTGCAGTTATCATAATCTGTAGTTGATTCATGTTTATTCTATATTAACATATAGAATATAATAGACCCCTACCACTGGACTGCTGTCAAAAGACCTTGGTGCGCATATTTAATCATATTTCCAAGTCCTGACATGCCATTCCACATAATATTGCCTTACGTCAGATGCAGTCGCCGGTTTTACGGCGTTTGTGAAGACGATCTCTGATCGGCCAAAGCTGGCCAAAAGGTTTCTGAACCATGGCGGTATCAAGAGTCAACCCAAAATAAATTTCAAGTGCTTCGTCTCCGACGAAGGGGGCTCACGAAAAGAAGGTTGTAGGATTTGAAAGGGAATAACCTTCTGGTACCTGCACATCTAATTACTCATCCTGATCAGCCTTTGCTCAGCCCGAAACCAACTATACTCATGCTGGCTTGTCCCACAGCTTATAGCTTGTCGAGGCCTCCCAATCTACACGACCATTGCTCGGATCACGACGAGCAATGCTTCCAGCAAAACTCTGCAACACTGCGGGGTTGCCACCCAAGGGTTTCTCGGATTCGCAGTGCTTCAATGTACCGAAGCTACGCAGCCTACGCATTGCTTTGATGTTTGGATCTTCGCCGAGGGCCTCTTCAAAAGACTTTGGATCCTCCAGAAAGAAAAACTCGGGGAACGTCTCATTGCGGCTCCGATGTATGAAGTCTTCAAAGCTCTTTGGATTGGTCCTCAGGGACTGGCAGCAGTACTCATGATCGAAACTCTAAGTTGAACAAACATGAACAAACTGGACTGGAGAGTGAGTGGACTTCAAAACAATTCAAAGAAACAGTTGGATCAGTTGGGCATATGTTGAACATGTCCTCACACCCAATAGGAACAAGGAGAGGCTGTCTTGATGTGATTCCTGTGGCTTCTTCTGAGTCAAGAAATGCCATGAAGCTCGATTCAAAGCCATCAAAAAAACCTTCGAGTGACTTCCAAGCTGAATCGGCACGGGGGCTGTGGGCAAGCGAAGAATTCAAACGGCTGGCCTTTTGAACAATGACATGCAGCTTGCCACTGTCCATGTGTTTCCATGTGTACAGCAACATGATATATAATAAAATATAATAAAATAACATATCAGAATCATCTCATAATATACCATAGCCATATTAATCCATATTATATTATATATCAAATAATTAATATATATTAGATCATAAACTGATGGCATCATTCTAGCAGCTTTGCAGCGGCTGGTGACAGCTGGTGATGGTGGCTGTCCTCACCACGTGGCTGAGGTGCCTGAACGGTGTTTTGTTGTTGGAGCAGCAAGATTTGTTTCTAAGCTTTCCATTTCGTGCAGAAAATAAAGAATGATCGAGTGACCTTGGGTTTGATCTGACTTCCCTTGATCACATCTGTGCAGCACTAGAAGCTTGTAGCTTCCGTCACCACGACGCGCAACTCCCCAACCTCCTGGTGGGTCTGTAGCGGTCGACCAGGCCTCAGGTTTTGTGAGGAGAAGATGATGAAGGCCAAAAAAAAACATTAAAACTAAAACTACCATTACGACCATAACCCTGAGTACCGAATATCTTGTAACCCAAGCAAGATGCATCTCGAAACATCCCTATCAAAACATATCACATGTCTCAAGACCACAGTCTTGTGGAACCCAGTCGTAGAGTTGCTTGAATGAATGGAATGTCATCTCAGAAACTGTTGGTTGCCCTGATTCAAATTGTACCAAGCTCACAGCCTGGGACAAGGCAGCCTCTCCCAATCATCGTCATCTTCTTGCCCTTCACCCCAATTAACCTGACCTTGCCTTCCATGCCTTCCTGGGTGAGACGTTCCCACTGAAGATGCCCATGACTCAATTCCCCCCAGCAGGCCTGCTCTGAGGTTGAAAGCGTCTGGCAAGCTCCTGACAGCGCCAAGGCAACTTTTGCCATGGTGCATCTGATTCTGCTTGAGCGAAACTCCAGTTACTCTACCCTCCTGAACAAGTGCTAAAATTGCTAAAACCATCTAAAACCTTAATGCCGATCGAACCGGAATGCTTTGCGACATGTTTGTATATCTTTGTACCGTCCTTTGCTTGGCTTATCAATCGATAGCTGAAATTTCGTCACTCATCCAGGCCAACGCTATTTTTACAGTAGCTGTCGCTTTGTGCGATCGCAACATCTTTTGGCAGGGCTGAGGTCAACTGTGACCCAAGCTCAACTTGTAGCTTTCTCAACCCAAGCTCCTCTCTGGTCAAGACTTCCTTGACACCTAAGACCTAGCATCCAAAACAACTGGTGGAGTGCAGCGACGTAAAGAGTCATAGTTTCATGACTTTGATGTGTCCAACATTGGCGATGTTTCCTATGTTTCCTTCCAACAACTTGTTCTTGACCTCCCAGAATTCCGGAGGTTGATTGCAGAATAAAGCACTATAATTGACCGAGCAGATTATATCCATAAGAATATATAAGAATGACATATCACGTCATGCGATACACATGGACTCCAGTCACGTGGACCAGATTGACATGCTTGCCATCGCAGGTTTTCAAAGGCAGCCTCAACGAAGAATTGTTTTAGATCCACATCAACACCTCGGGCCACGACATGCCACGACTATTGCGTAACAGGAGAGGTACTGACGGTCCATCTGAAGTTGATGTACCGGAATGTACCGTGGTGTTTAGTTGTTCTGGAATTGTCCTGGACATGAATTTCTCTGGGTACCTGCATGTCGGACCCCTTGAACAGCCTTGAACTATTTAATCTTCAACATAAATTGTGTTCTCAACTAGAATACGTCCAATACATGGTTCTGATATGTTCTGACTTTGTGCGCTCAGAGTACCACAGTCATGCCACTTTTGCTTTCACAAACCATAAACTACCAGGGTGCAATTCAGCATTTGTAATTGCCCAACGTTGTATAGCTTGCTGCGGAGGATCTCCAGTTCGATGAATTTACAGCGGAACGGATCATCATTTTTTTATTCAATGCATCAATACCGTTGTCAATACCTGCTGCGAGACAGGAATGACACTAGGGCATGGGCATACAACCTTGACTGCTATACTCTTTCAATCTGATATAGCTAAAGCATGCTAAAGCATGATAAAGCTTGCTTTTAGCTTGCCAGAAAAAAATAAGATTTGGTGTTGATGACTTGCTGCTTACTAGGGAATTCAATGAGGAAACACTACAAAGCCCACCACTGCCAAACACTCTGAACATCCAGCAGTCGCAGCCAAAGGCACTTTCACCTTGGTTAGTCCTTGGACATTGAGGACACGCATCTGATCGTTGTTCTCATCCACATAGGAATTTCTATGAGGACAAGGCAGCGGAAACAAAGGTGGTCGTGTGCATTGAAAAAAAACCGATGGACCTTTTGTTTGCTGGAAATCAGGGCCATGATTCCCCCCGTGACCAGTGACTCACGCCATCCAAAGTCGGCCTTTTCACCCTTCGTGGCATCTGCTGAGCCCCGATCTTCCCCTGAAAAGATCCCCTGCTAACGTCACCAAGGAACTTTTGGACCGGGCTGGCATAGAAGTTGGATAGGGCAAACTTGCTGCAGGGCCTGATCGCTGGTCATGGACTTACCAAGCGCTTTCTGCCAAGTTGTCATCGTTTGTGTCGATCTGCCCCCTTCGTGATTTGGGACTCCCAATGTTTGATGAGTGCTGCCATCAATCAGTTTAGCACATGCAAATTATATCAAATTATTCCTTTCTACCAGAATTTCTAGCACTATGCTCTACCACTACGCTACCAAAAACATAAGGTCATCTGCCATGACAAGCTTTGAGGGCACAACAGATCAGCAATCTCAAGGTCTACCTCTGTGGCAGTGTGGCACAACAATAATGCCAAAAAATGAGTCACTAGATGTGACTAGTACATGGTAAATGGCAGTCAATGTCCCCCCATTCAGAATGCCACATGTGGCACTCCAATTCAGCTCTTGCAGCTCTTGCACTCTGCACTGGGTCGCGAGCAGACCAATAGGTTTGTGCTGATGTCAGAAACTTCCATGGCCTGGCTGTGTGGGAGAGGGGAGTCAGCATCGGGAGCATTTCAGAGATCCGCAGAGTAGAGCCACCATTAACACCATGGCCCAACTGTCTGACACAAAGCTGCAGTGTGAAAACCCTCTGAAGAACTCTGACAAACTAACTATGCAATCTATAATAATCTATAGCCTATAGCAAACTGTAAAGACTATATAGAGAAGACAACCCACCTTTGATGTCCCCCCTTTGATATCCACCCGCTGGTCTCCTTCCCCGAGCTTGCGGCAACACCACGAACCTGGCGAATTGGAGACTTCCGAAGAGTGTGACAATAAAATATATAAAAACAACATTGTACAACCATAATGGATCAAGAATAGATCCACAAGATCACTACAATCATCTAGTGATATCTAGTGAATCTAGTATCCTCTGATATCCTCTGGCCGCTGGCCTCTTTGACCGGAAGATGGTGTTGACGTGGAATCCGAGGGGATCACCTTTGACACCAGCTCAACTTGACTGTTGCTACCACTTTGCTACCTGTAGGTCCTCTATAAGCCCAATATAAATAATATAAGCACATTGAGGTTTCCTGAAATAGGGGTGCCCCCAAATCATCCATTTTATATAATAGGATTTTCCATTATAAACCAACCATTTGGGGTATCCCCTATTTATGGAACCCCCCATATATTTGAGCCCTCTAAGTCTGTGGCGTTCTCGGGACAGTTCCTGCAAGGTCATGTCATCGTCGACCCGCCGCCGTTTCAACTGCTGCACATCCTGGGCACTGGTCCATACCGGTCCAAAACCCAATGTCCCGTCATGTTAACATATGTTAACTATAAATTGTGTTAAAATTATGCTAGGACTTTATGTTAATGATTCAGGAATATTTAATACTAATATTTATGAATATTTATACATTGATAATATTGACAATGGATGGTTGATCATGGTTGCATGGTTTTGCTTTGCTTTCTGATTCCAAGCTGATTGCATCAGCTATCATCAGCCAAAGGCTCGAGCCTCAGAGGCTCGAAATCCCTCCTGAAGCTGCAGGAAAAGTTCAGCCTTGCTGCGCAGCAAAATCACTCTGGATATCTCTGGATGCCATTGAAATTCAGCAATCTGACAGAATTCTGTAAGATATTGTAAGCAAATTAATATGAAAGGCTGATCATCCTGATCTACTGCAAGCAACATGTTCACATCCGATTTCCTGTCCTATCCACTTTCACCTTTATGTTTTGTCCCTATCCCAGTTACCCTAGTAGCAAGGCAGTCAAGGCAGGTGGAGTGTAGGCTCCAAACATAAATCTGACGGAGAAGCAACAAGGTTGGCTTCACCTTTGGCCCCTCTTGGCCTCCGCCAATTTGCGCTGGCAATATCCTGCAAATCACAGCAAATCGGCATGTCTGGCTTGAGCAAAGGGCTGAGACAAGCCTGTTTTGGTCAAGAATCACAGCTCGGTGTTGTATTGTGTTGTTGCACAAGCACGTGTATCACGTCCAATTCGCATATAGGTGCTCCTGAAACTTTCTCATAACCAGGGATAGCCAAGATTTTCAAAATTTTCCTCAATGTCTTTTCATTACTATTTGTTTCGATACGAGTGATATTATCCCATTGACAACTGCGAGGGAAAAAACTTAACAAGACCTAAGCAGCCAGCATGACTGGGATAATTCACACTGGAGCTCACTATTCCCGTTTCGCCTTGTAAGCGCTTGTAGAAGCTGAAACCTTGGCCATATCGAGGAAGAATGGCACTTAGTCTCAAAGCAAAGTCCCAGATGCAGTCGGTACATGCGGTTTTTATTCTTATGGCAGCTGGCCAATCAAACACGAGCATTTAGACATGGGTCAAAATGGGTTGCCAATACTGAATCCACTAATTTGGTCCAATTTGGGCAACTTTTAGGCTGAAACATTGGCTGTACCATTTTGAAACCATCCATTCGTGGTGCCAACGGTGCCAATGACTTTGACCTGCTAATGAATATT